GGAATGATGGTAGAAATTAAACTTTTTGAAGTGTGAAAATTGACTAATTAAGGAGGGGTTTAGCTCCTTCAATGTGACTTTGACATCACACCATGAGAAAATTAAAAATTGAGGAGGAACAGTGATATAGAATTCACCCTTGTCTAAGCAAACCTACATTTAACTCTTTTATTTCCTTCCAACCTTTCACCTACCGGAGCAGCAAAACCAGTACTTCTCCTTATGGGGTGGCTTCAATCCCTCTTCTCCCCATTGAAGAAACTCTGGGTTCGGCTTCATTCCAAACATAGAAAGCGTACGTGTATATTTTCCATTTTGCTAGCTCGCTACACTTTTTTTCTTTTTTTTTTTTTCCCCTCAAATATCATCATCATCTCTGCAATTGATGACCCTAATAAGTTGATAGAGTTGCTTTTGGATCACCAGTCATATTTCTTATATGTCTTCTTTTGATACTTTTTATGTCATGTTATTCGTTAAATCATTGCATTGTTACGTACCATCCATATCCCTTACCTTGAACCATCTTTAATTCTGTTCCACTCATCCTAAATTTAAGTATGTTTGTGCCATTGGAGTGATATTAATAAACAGAGTATCATTAATTCGTTCGCATTAGTTTGTTTGGGTTCAGTTTGCGTATAACCAAAACGTTTTCTGTTTAATTTCTGTGTTTCTTAATTTGCAGGGAAGGGATTATACATCCTGTATGAAGATGTGAAGTCCTGCTCATGCGAAGATGTGCACGTGCTCTGGTCAATACTGGTGGAGTCTGATACAACTTTGCTGCCAAAATAATGAAGTCTCTTAGCAAATCATTAGAGTGAATTAATGAAAATTTTCCATCCATGTACATACTACATAAACTACAACTCATTAATTTCCTTTTGATTTTCCTTCCCTCTTGGAAAATTTTCTTATATGGCATTTTGATAAGAAGGGGTTTAGGTTGCCTGTTTATATAGCAGTTCTCTTTTTCGTTCTTCAGTGTTCCAGCTCCCAAAATGATCTAATAATGTACATTATTGGAGTGACACCTATGTTCATTGATTTAACAGTAGCATGTACATTATTACACCTAAATCAGTATTTACTAATTAGTAGTAATCACATATGCTACTTAGTTTGGAAAACCAGATGCAACCATGAGATGTGCCTGATCCCGACTAAATCAATTTTGTGAAATTCCCGATCGATGGTCTAATGATAAAAACTCTTATCTCATATCTCGGAGATGAGGGAATTTTTCCACCCGGTGCAAGTTTAAAACATTTATCTGAAAAAATTGTTGGTTTTATATTGATTATAACAGTGCAAAAAGCAATCTATAAGCATTTATTTGAATTTTAGTTAAATTCATTTTTTACATATCATATTTTACATTTTAGTTCAAACAATAGTTTTTTTTTTTTTTTTTTTTTTAAAGGTTAAGTGCAAAAAACCGCCTGTAATATAAGTTTCGTGTATAAATAGTTCATCCTTTTTGAAAATGTACATTTCAGTCCATAAAATTTTTAAAAAGTGCAAATAAGTACCTGACCACTTTTTGATCAAAATTGATATAAAATAAATTTTAAAACCCTAATTTGCCCTTTTCTCTTCCTATTATGCCATTTTCTAAGGGGCTCCAGCCATCACATCACTGCCACAACAATTGGTGGTGGCAGCTCCACCATCATGGTCGCCACACTCAAAAACCACCACTACCCCCACACCCAATATAATAATAAATAAAAACTTCAAGATACTCATTTTTTGTTTCAATCTAGATGTTCACTCGCATCATCAAACCCACCTCTCTCTCTTTCCCTCTCTTCATCTCCATTACTTGCCCCCGAAAATCAATACCCACTCTTCATCACCAAACCAACGATGGACTTTGTAGAGAAATTACTGTTGCATCAATGCTGCAATTCGATTTGCTGTGACTCCACGGATCTTGTAGAGTTTTTAACCGTTGCATTTCTATTTATCCAAAAAAAAAAAAAAAAAACAAAAAAAAGGGAGAGAGAGTGAAACTGGGTTTGAACTCATCTCTCATGCAACCATCTCATTTCTCCCCTCTCTTTCATGCGGAAGAGAAACTACCGGAGAAGATTGTGTGAGAGATGTCTGATGGCAAGGACGGGTTTGGTGCTGTGACTCCACGGATCTTGCAGAGTCTTTAACCGTTGCATTTCTATTTATCAAAAAAAGAAAAAAAAAAGAAAAAAAAAAAAAAGGAGAGAGAGTGAAATTGGGTTTGAACCAGGGGTGCAAGTTGGGTCGGGTAACTTGAACCCAACCCCAGCCCAGCCCGATTTTTTATGGGCTTAGGCAATCATTTTTACAATTAGAGTTGGGCCTGGGTTGAAAATTTTCAACCCGAATTTAATTAGGGTTGAGCTTGGGTTGAAGTGCTAGCAACCTAGTCAACCCGAACCCGAATTCTAATATTATTTTCATATACATTTTTACTTTAAATACATTATGTATAATATTTAAAACTATTATTACTTTTTTTTTTTTTTTTTTTCTTTTTAACTTCTTTTGTTAAATCTTAACTTATTGTATGTTGACATTTAGAATAATTAATTTTCTAAAAATTTGTTTGCAATTCATTAAAATTCAACAAAAAGTCTTTAAACTTTTTCTTATTTAAGAGTAATTTTATCTAAAACTAATTCAAGATCATATTAAATTTTTTGTGTAAGAATTAACCATATGAGTAACCCGAAATTTTTACCTGAAATCTAATCCCGAGTTACAAGCCCGAATTTAAAAGTAGGAGGATGGGTTGGGCTTGGGTAAGTAGTTAAGGTTGAGGATATGGTTAGGGTTAGGCTTAGGTTTACCATTTCAGATGGTGAGTTGGGCTCAAGTAATACCTCAAACCCGCCTAACCCGCCCGAGTTGCAGCCCTAGTTTGAACCCATCTCTTATGCAACCATCTCATCTCTCCCCCCTCTTTCATGTGGAAGAGAAACGACTGGAGAAGATTGTGTGAGGGATGTCCGATGGCAAGGATGGGTTCGGTGTTAAGGACCTCACCGATGCTAAATCAGTTCTTTGGGCATGTATCGCTGGTGCAATCGGCGTTGGTGAAGTGGAGGAGAGGACGTCAGCATTGGTTTTGCTTTCTAGGTTTGAACCCAACAATCCCTCTCGCGGTGCTCTGAATCGTGGAGAGTAGGTCACGCGTTAGATCTATGCACAGTGGCGCGGGAGCGCGTTGGCACATCTTTTGGACGGCTAAGTATGAGATCGGTGGTTCGCGGGAGACGAAGAAGCTGAAGTACCATTCAGAAGACGAATAGCTGGAGGATGACGAGTTTGAGTTTCCCCGCCGTCGCGATTGAAAAAGTTCGATTCTTGTTTGGTGGCTGTTGGTCATGATGAAGGACGACGAGCTTCGGACGTCATTAATGATGGTGTATACATGAGGAAGGTGGTTGTTGGCGACGGTGAAGGACGGCGCAAGGTCGGAACAATCAGTGGCGAAGAGATGATTACGTTTTTGAGAAGCTGAGTTTATGGGTGGGTTTGGAAATTGTCTAAAGTGGTAATTTTACATTGCCTCAATTTTTAAATATTATTTCATTTTATTGACAAGAGGGTATTAATGTCTTTTTATGGGAACATGGGGATATTTGCACCAAATTGATAGTATAGGGGGTTTTATACCACACATGGATTTTTTTGCACTATATCGATAGTAGAGGGGTGTTTTTTGCACTTAACTTCTTCTATTTTTTTTTTTTTTTTTTTATAATTTTTTTTTTGTCATTGGCAAAAATTAACACACACTCCATTTTGCTCATTTGAACACTCGAGCCATCACCAACCACTTTAAGGCGACAGGGGAGATGCACTCCCTTGGTGTAAACAATAGGTGATGGATGTCATTATTCAATTAGTAGAGTTTGTAGGAGTTGTTCCATCACGATTGCCGAACGTGTTCTTGAGTTCGATCTCATCCTTCTCGACATGACGAGATTTGACATCATTCTTGGGATGGACTGGTTGTCGTCCTTCAGAGTTTCAGTGTGTATCCCGGATGGGGATTGTTTCTGTTTTGTGAGAGATCGGTGAAATCCTCTCACTCATTCATTCTATGGTGTTAGGAGTCGGGATTGACAAACATTCTTCTTGGCTAGCCTTTTTGCCGATGATGACGTGGAGAAACTGTTTTCAAAATTACAAACTTACAAATAAAGCATGCCAAGAGTTTCTCTAATGAAAAGACTTCTAATGTTTTTTCCCCAATACTTTCTTTTAAATTTTTAACAAGGATAATATTTCAAGCTTTTTTCTTTTAGAGAAAAAAAATGTTTGTTACAAACAAATGTTGGGGATTATATGACAAATATTTTTTTTTTTGTCATTGAAAAGTTACTCTTAAAGGATATGAAACTATTATTTTAAATATTGTAAAATCATGTAATTTTAATGGAGTGTCGTCGTGATCTTGATCCTTACGGGCCTCTTGAATCTTCTCTTTTCCTATATTTTTTTTTTGTTTTTGTGTGTAATGTGGCTTTACTCTTGTTTTCTTTATTATTAATAGGAATTCTCTTATTAAGACCCTATGAATAGATTAAAACTTCATATTCATACTAGAACCACAATGATTCAATAAAAATCCTAAACTAATCCCAAGGATTCCCTAAGTAAGAACCATTGGATCATCACTTATTACATGAATAGATACAATGACTAAAAATTCAAAGAAATATTTGTCTTTTCGTCAAAATAAGCATATCCTCATGTTTCAGAGTGCAACTAAATAAAAAAACTTTTTTAAATCAAGAATGTAAACATTATAACAACATAAAATCGAATATTTTCTATATTTTAAGCAATATCTTATATGATTTTTACAGATTTTATATTTCATTGTTTATATGTGAAATTTTATTTTACAAAAAATGGAATATTTTATTTTACTACGTTGTTAATATATATATATATATTAAATTCTTTACTACGAGTCCAAGAATAATTTTTTTCAGGCCCAAATCTTCAAGGCTTGGGCTGAAATAGATACCCAGAGGATACGCCCATAAATATAGCTTATACATCACCCTAAGATTAGGGTTTAGTTTTCTCTCTTCTGCCGCAGTTAGAAGCCATCTCTCACTGAGAACGAGCTTCATCGAAGACATGGTCAGCCAGTTGAAAATTTCTCTCTTTTTTTTCAATTCATATTCTCTCTCTCTTTCTACATACATATATATATATGCACAGACTTTGATTTTCTAGTAATCTATCTTGTTTCTGTTGTTGGATATTTGCAGTCGCTGGTGGCCGGTGAAGAGTTTCAGCACATTCTTCGTGTGCAGAACACGAATGTCGATGGCAAACAGAAGATTATGTTTGCACTCACCTCCATCAAAGGTATCGGCCGTCGTTTCGCCAACATCGTCTGCAAGAAAGCCGATATCGACATGAACAAAAGGTTTCTCTCTCCTTTTTAATTTTACCCCATACGATTCTATCTTAAGGTTTTTACCGATTTATCTTATGTACTCTTAGTCCTTGATTCTATTATTTATGTCATTTTATGATTGTGACCGACCTGCTAATTGTATGTTGTGACGCATTAATCCTGGATTTTTTACTCTAAACCTCTCCTTAGTGTTCAGTTAAATATTATTTTTCTATTTCTATTTCTATTTCTTGATCTTTACCATTTGGTTTTGTTGATTTTTGTGCTTGTGCTCAATTTTTGTCATGTTTTGATTTTGATTATCAATCATATGTTCTGATTCTGTGATAATTTTCGCTTAGATTTAGTTTCTATAATTTTAATGGCAAAAGAAGTTGAGCTAGTAACTGTAAGGAAAACACAAGTCGAAAAGAAGCTTATGAAAACAGAAACTATATATATGATTCACTAGTAGAAGCTGTTTATGTGGTCCATAATGGGGTTTAGGCCTTTAATTTGGTTTTCTTGGTAAGAATGAAGGAAAAACAATTCAAGTAAGCTGTCTCCTTTTCTGAGCCATTCTATCAAATATAGGCGGATGTTGTGATGTCAATCTTTGGCTACCTTAAAATGGAGAACATATTGAGTGATCCGGTATATCATGTGATTGGTATGCCCACCCAAGCAACAAGCTCCATTCATTGGGATTGATCCCACTTAGATAGAATAACTGCTCTCAACAAATAAAAATGGTGGATGTTTATTGCGTGGGCATAACAATGACGACTCACCAACAATCTACTACTTCAAATGGCCTACGTTTTTTCACCAGAATTTGCCAGATTACTGCCATATTTTGCAGTTTCTCATTCATGATGGGGTGTTCTACGTGGTCCACCTTCCAAGGCTATGTAAGAAAACAAAATGGACTTTATCCCACCCTCTAAAAAAAAAATGCAATGGAGCCATTCTATTCTGCTGAGTTGTCTAAAGTCATTCTTTCTTCTTCTTATGCATATAGGTTCTCAATTTAAGTGTTTTTTTTATTTATTATTATTTTAAATATGATAATAAATCTTTTCCCTGGCCCCCTTGTTATTTTATGTTTTTTTAGTTATTGTATAGTGGATAATCTGAAGTAGTAGCAAGCATGGTATTGTCTGGATTCATATGATTTTTCTAATTTTATCTACATTAATTCTTGTAGGGCTGGTGAACTTTCAGCAGCAGAAATCGATGGCCTGATGACCATTGTTGCAAATCCTCGCCAGTTTAAAATCCCTGATTGGTTTCTGAACAGGAAGAAGGATTATAAGGATGGAAAGTATTCTCAGGTCACATCCAATGCCCTGGACATGAAGCTGAGGGATGATCTTGAGCGGTTGAAAAAGATCAGGTTTGCTTCTTTTTATTATTTTTTTGTCTCAACATAAAATTTTGTGGCTATAGTTAGATGGGTTTTTCTTTTTTTCTCAATATTCTAATATGACATAACTTTTAAAAAATAAAATACCCATGTAGCATAGAAATGGACACCAAAAAAATAGCTCACCTAGGTAGCAAAGAAATGGACATCTTGCACGAACACAATACAAAACGAATGCTTCAGAATAACGATTGTATCCTCAAGGAATAGGATATGACATGGTGTGAGTAGAAGAATATATAAATATAATTTTTAATGTGTATGCATTTATTATTTAAAAAATTAAAGAATTTTAATTATTTCTAATTTTAAAATATGAATTGAATTATGGAATAATGATTGTGTCCTTAAGTGTTTGCTGTAGACTTGATTTGTGGTCTACATACGTACAGTGTCATATTTTCTTTATGGAAGAAAGATTGGACTATACGGAGTGTGTTCATCTTGTTTCTAAGATTATCGAAGGTGTTTCCTTCTAAGACATGTTTCTGCTACATAAATTTTCTGGTATGTCTTGGTCAAGTGTTCAAAATAATGAAAGTAGTTTTGATATTATGGCCCTGTTAACGAGGTGTCCAGTAGGTGTCTTTTAATGTTATGCTAAGTGCAGTGTCTAATGTGTGTTCTCTGTGATCATGTCACCTTCACAGAAGTGTATGTGCTTCTTAGGTGTCAAGCAAGTAACGTGAAGTCTTGTCATTGAATTTGTATTGTTTCTTCAGATTATTTGCTAGTGTAGTCTTGACTGCTTATTGTTTCACATTGGGACAGGAACCACCGTGGTCTACGTCACTACTGGGGTCTTCGAGTTCGTGGGCAGCACACCAAGACTACTGGCCGCAGGGGAAAGACTGTTGGTGTTTCTAAGAAGCGATAATCTGGTTTCCCATTTATGTTGTTCTTGCTACTAGTTTCATTGTGCTTCAAACTTTTATCAAATTTTAGTATGTCTTGATAATTTGGCCCGTTGCTTTATTGTATCTCTTTACCGATTTTGGTTTTTCTATGCAACTCATCAATATTTTCTGTTTTGACAATATTACGACTTCTGGGCAATTTATTAGTGTTCTATTTTCTATAATTTGATTTGAAGAGTTTTGATATCTAGAGCACTTAAGATATCGAGTATTCAGAAGAGTTGATGACATGTTATTATGGGTTTTTCTTGATTCGTTACATTTTGTAGTGTTGTGCGGCATCTGCTCTCTGTAAGCTTGAGCATATCTATCTTACAATTGTGTCATTAACTTTCAAGCTTTAATTCTTTTTATTTGATATTTGAAATGGTATTTTCATAGATTCTATTTCTCTACATGATGATATAATAGACTGAACGGGGCTGTTCAGAATGAATTGAATGATTTTACCAGTTTTGTAGATTCACCTAGTTTTTGGGTTAGTAGTTGCTTGTTCTCTTGAATTTTGTAGCTTCTTTCTATTTATGCAGTTGTGAGTCATGCTATTTAGGTGAGTATAATTATTTCCTGTAATGGAATTGTTTGTTAATAACCATTTTCGGGGTCTGGGGTTGGACAGATATTTGAGCCATGCCATTTTTGTTTTGTCAGAGTTAGCCCTCCTGGAGTATGATTCTTTCTTTTTTTTTTTTTTTTTTTGGGGGTTTCAGGTCACAGTTTGAAGTAGTATATATATATTTTGCAGACTTTAAATAGTGCTCGTAATTGATGACATATACTATAGAGGGGGTGTTATTTTGTCATTCTTTGTTTGTTTGCTTAACTGCTCAAATTGATGTAGATACATCTTCTTCTTTTTTTTTTACTGGATCATATGCGATTTACATTTCACCTTGCTGGATTCCTTTTTCTCCCTATAAATGCACAGGTGGGAATAGGCTTCTTTTCCAAATGAATTGCCTTTTGATTGCTTTGCTGTTCTTTATTTCACTTTTACGTTTGTAGTTTTTGGCCTTAACATTACATCTGTAAATGCTGTGGATGGGCGGTGCTATCTAAAGCCAGATTTGGGTCAAGTTGCTTCCTAGAAGGCCTTTGCTTTGCCGGTGTAGGTGTAGTGAGTTAAACCTGTATTTTTCAATTTTAGGCTCATTTTGCAACCCAGACCTGGTTTTGGAAATGCAATAGTTGCCTGACTCGGGGTATTTAAAAGTAGAAAGAGATATAATGTTGTGGATTTGGTGGTGTTATTTCTATCTATGGTTGCTCCTGTAGTCCTGTTTTGTGTGATTACTTGTTGTCGAGTTGAGAATTGAAGCCAAGAATGCATACCAGAAATCGAAGCCAGAGATCCAAAGGATTACCCAAGATCACCATTGAGGGAGAAAATAGACAGATGGAAGTTGCAGGAGCAAGAGAAGGATGACAGATGGGAGAGACTGCTATGTTAAAGCTTATATAGAGTTGTACCAGAGATAAAAGGTAGAATGGAAAATAACACATAATCACATCATATAGAGCAGTATAGAAGTGGATCCTTTGAAGAATTATTGTAAAAGTCACCGCTCTTGCTCATGAAAGTAATAAGTAATAATTTGAGGGGAGGGGATGGGGTTTGGTTGGTGAAGGACACAACGAACAGTAGAAACCCTAGATCCGTGTGGAGGTTGATGCCTTAATGGTGGGGTGCATTGGGGAGAGAGATCCACATCCTCTCCTGCATATATATATATATATTAGTTTTCTTGTACGTATTTATCTATAGCTTGAGAACAAAAGAGATCATAGCTTGGTCTCTTTTTACAAACACATATATATAATACTCTTGCTAGATGCCGCTGAGGATTTGAGTTCATGTCTAATATATTTTTGGTAAGAATTTAAGCACCCAATATTACTGATATGTGGAAAAAGATATAAAGGAAAGAATCTCAAAGGAGAATTCAATTTTTTTAAAAGCTGACAAGCAAAGTACGTACCTATATATTACAAAAATTTCAAAAAATCATTACAGAAATATGTTTAATCTGACAATGTATGTTATTTAGTACATAATGCCCAGGACAAGTGGTACATTATGAACTAAACAGTATCACGAATGAATTGTATATATGAGTTACGCTTTAGAGTATGAAACTTGCCGTGGCTCCATCGTTTTGAGTTGATGTACTATCTATATGAACAGCTTGCTCCACAATGACCTTTTATATATTATGTATTTGGTAAATTAGGCATATCTCACATGGGTACTTTGACTTCCTTGAGACTATAAAAAGTAAATTATTTCCTTATATATATTATAATATATTATAAATTTTTTTAAAAAGTAATTATTATATCTCATCTCTCTTATTACTTTCTTTGCCCTTTCTACCGGTTAGTCTCTCCTAACAAAATCTTATAAATAAATATAAAAATCTTATAAATAAGGATAACTTGGTCATTTTATGAATTTTTTTTTACAAATTTTGATGAAAAGGGGATTGTTGAGCATACATCCAAATTAAATTTTAAGAGGGATGTAATAAATATTAAATATTGTCATATTTGTCCAAACCACACCGAAGGTCAATAATTTACCCAATAAGCATCAACTTGGATCTTTAAGCATCATTAAGCATCAACTTGGATCTTTAATATCAATTTTTGTGCCCAAACAAGTCATCACTGATCAGTGGCATGATTCTTATATGTGACTTATCCCAAGTCGTCTATATAACTCTTAATATTTATTCAAAAAAAAAAAAAAAAAAAAGACAAAATCAAGATTCCACCGATCTTGTCTGTGGTGGGCTTATTTTAATTGTTGAGTTGATCCAAAGTTTGGCCTCATCTTAATCCAGATATTGTCTGGACTCAAAGATGCTGTCCAATCAAATATAGATAAAACAGTATATTTTATATGTACACACATATAACTACAAAAATCATCAATTTATTTATTTTTATTGTACAGTATAGGTTGGTCAATAATCAAAATTATTATAGTTGTCGATGTATGACTGGCCCGAACTGCCATGAGTTTACGCAACTTGTTTCAGTGTTTCTAAGAAACAATAAGCCCACAGGTTTTGTTGTTTGGTGGTGTTTTTTAAATGTGAATTGTAATTGTCTTTGGGATGGAGCCATAAAAGAAGCTACTGAAAAAGTAAGAGGGATATGCAAAAAGAGACAAATATAAAGAGTGCTGCAATATTTTATTCAATTTAAAGTGATTACCACTACCGGAGAAATTAAATTAAAGACGACTACGAGACTTGGCCGAATCTTCTATTTCTATTGTAGCGTCTTTTTTTTTTTTTTTTTTTTTTTTTTCTTTTTTTTTTTTTTTTTTTTGGGTGATGATAGAGAAACTGAATAAAAATACCAAATAAACACCGAATAATGACCTATCTAGGTCACGTTTTAGGCTACCAACTTTCCAAAAAAAATAACTTAGCTGATAAATATAAAGACAAATCTATCTTCAACGTTTAGCCTTAACTTCATTTTATACCCATTACTTTCTCTCTCTACCAGATTACGATTACTTAGAAATTTTATTCACTTTTTCTATTCCAAAATTTAGCCATATGTATCTCTCTCAAATTCTCATCATTTTCTCTCTCCAAGATTTGAATAAGAAATTACTTTGAAAATTCTATTTTAACTTTTCCTCTCTCTAAAAATGTATATACATGTCTCTCTCTCAAATTTTATTCAGTTTCTTTTTAAAATTTGTGTCTGAATTATCTCCTCTAAAATTCTTTTGAACTTTTTCTGCCTAAAAATTTTCAGATCTGGCTCTCAAATTCTCTTTACCTTTTCTCTTTAAGATTTGGATTTGACTTTCTTTTTCATTTCCATGTATTTGTTTTCCCCACCATTCATTTGTTTTTCGTCTCACATCTACCCCTAAAAACCTTCAAATTTGTCTCCATGACTTTATTAGGCTTTCTCCTGTACCTCTCTTTCTTCCATAAACCCTAATATCCAAACTTTATTAAAATGGGTTTATTGTTGATTGGTGACTTGTTAACTTGATAAGAAACAAGACAATAGAAAAAGAATAAGTTCTTAAAAAGAAAGAAAAACTTAAAGAGTCTGGAAAATGGTGGCCTCTATAGAAGATGGAGGAGAGAGAATTTGAAAAGAGAGAAAAATTGAAGAGTGTGAAAAATGGTGGCCTCTACGGGAAGATGGAGGAGAGAGAAATTGAAGAGTCTGGAAAAAAGATAAGTATAAAATCTAGAGAGAGACTAGTCATAATTACAGTAAGAAAAGGAAGGAAGAATATATGACATGGCAAAAAAATGTCAAGTTTCGGTGTTAATTCGGCAATTACTGTATCATTTTTCAATTGTAGCCCTTTATACTATAACATTTTTCAAGTACTTAACATTTATTTTATATTTTCACATATTCTAAACAGCCATTTTTCTTGTTAAAATGAAACAACCATCCTAATTATAAGCAATTGGCAAAAGAAAAAAATGAAATAGATTCTTGATAAAATGTTTATTTGCAATTATTTTAGTAAAAAATGCACCAATATATGGTATTAATGACTTGGAGTAAAGTTTCCTAGTTTAGGAATTATCAAACATTAATCCATAAAATCATCTTGAATGCAACATTACTTGTTACTATGAACAACAAAAATATTAAACTTGCACGCAATGCCCTAAAGAATAGATAGATCATTGGTTTCCTGTCACAATATGGGTCACACTCCACCCAATCATGGCTGGATACACACACACACACACACACACACACACATATATTCAAGAAAACACAACTCAAGAGCGAAATACTAGTGTCAGTGGAAATAGCAAATAGCTAGCCTACTTGGAAATGCATGTATAGGTTCAAATTAAACGAGGACCAGAAGGTACTGTCAAGGATAAGATGAAATTATAATTGAGGACAGAAGGGGACCAAAATTGAATATCCCCACATCTTTTTATAATTTCCAAATATATATATTTTTATATATTTTAGAAATTAAAAGAAGAAAAAAAGATTTGGTGATCATAAATCTAACCAGCTAGCACTACTGCTTTAATTTATTATATTACATGGTTAGAACCTCCGCCGGCCAAGTCAGATTCCCGGTCACCACCAGCTGGCTGCTGCGACGTCATAAGACTAACAAGAAGGTCTGCGAAAGCTCCGACGATGAACTTGTGAGTGCTCTTGGGGTTCAGCGCAAGATAGCACAGCAGAAGCTCATGCAAGTAGTCCCAATTGGCTCTAACGTCCATCAACTCACGCGCCTCCACCATCTCCTGCATAGATCGCCGGAAGTCCTTATATGGGTCCGGCGAGTACGTGGGGATGGCAATGCTACCGCGGACAAGTGCGTCACATCCCGGCGGGTCACCCGGCGATGACGACGAAGAGGCGGCGGATGAGTCGATGATGGAGTTGGAGCGGCCAGGAGAGGAGAAGAAGAAGCGGTGGGAGGCGAAGACGGCGGCGAAGTCGGGGGTCGGGGAGTCGGCGTCAGATTCCGATGAGGAGTGGTCTTCGGATGAGTGGGTGAGGAGGGACTTGGAGTTGGAGGTGGAATCGAAGTTGAGTTCGTAGAGAGAGTTGAAGTTCTTGACAAGATCAATTGATGATGATGTGTTGGTGGTGGTGGTGGTGTACTTATCATGATCAGAAGTGGAGTTTGGTAATGGACGGTTGTGATCATCTTCTAGGGTTAATGGGGCAGGAGATGATGATGATGATGATTTTGGTGATGTTGGGCATTTGATCTTTGGGAAGCAGAGATGTAGGTTTCTCCCAATAGTGCTCGCCATCTCCCTAGCTAGCTCCTCCTGTAACTGATCTGATATGCTGAAAAGCTGTGTGTGTGTGTGTGTGTGAGAGAGAGAGAGAGAGAGGGCAAGTTATATTCAACTTGAAAGGTTAAACTATATTTATATGCACATGTTTAGAGAGAGAGAGATAGAGGGATGTAAACTATGACTGAGGATGGCAACCCATGGTGGTTATGTGTGTTAATTAACTTGTAGAGAGAGAGAGAGAGAGAGAGAGAGCAGCATCACCTACACCTACACCTACATGTATATTCAAGGGAGAGAGAGAGTCCCGTCATCGTTGATGGTGCTGTTTTTGTAGTTTGCAGTTTGTACTATGGATTCAACGGCGACTGGACACACTAGACAGGCGTAAAAGACTGTCAAAAGTTAAAATAAATTTTAATAATAATGACTTTGTTGATCCCCACGCTCACTACTTATGTGATCACATCACGTACAATCATCTACATCCGCATGTTGTGCGCGGTTGCTTTGCACGCAAGGTAAGTGCGCGTGAAGAGAAGGTTTAGATGGTCATTGTTTAGGATTTAAGCAAAGTGCACATGCAAAGGCCTGGGTTGCTGCATGCATAATATATAAGATATTTGAATTGTGTGTGTGTGTGTGTGTGAGAAATACAGACTTAATTTGAGTGGTCATGATATGAGAAAGTGAAAGATGGGATGGACATGATTGTCTCTACCACTTTTACCAGTCCTTGCTTGGGTCCCACTACTTTCACATCTTTGTGTACCAGGGGATTTTGATTCTTCAAGAATCACTTCATTGTTTTTCGCTAAAGAAGATATGTAATAATTAGATACTTACACCAATCAGCTAACAAAACTCATTTCGACTTTATGGCTAAATAATGCTGCACATTTTTTTTTTTTTTTTTACACACTCATTAAACAGATAATTCCATTTTTGACATCCTCTAAATCCTCATATCATAAAGGCAAAAAAAAAAAGAAAAAAAAGAAAAAAAAGAGTAAAAATATATAGAGTTTGCTTAGCTTGTAACTGAATTGTTTTCAATAATTTAGAAAATAAAAAACAATTTTCAAAGAATAATAAAAGAAAGTTATCTAAAAATAGACCTTTTTAAAATTGAATTTTTTGAAAACCGAGCCAAACAGAGTTTTCTATACAGTTTTTTTTTATTTTAAGTTTTCTGAAAAAGTAAAATTATTCTCAAAGTTACAAATCAAGCAAGGTCATAGTAGGTATTTTCTTACTTTCCATGATCTCCGTGGCAACTTTATGCCACATGTACACGAAAAGACTACCATAAAGTCATTTCTCATATACTTGGAATGATATACATATTTTGTCCGAGTTATTGGAATAATATTTTCTTCTAATTTATAAGAATTATTTTTTAAAATTATTTTTCTTTTTTACTTGTTTTAAATATTATAAAAAGATACTAATATAATTACACATTATCACTTCAAAGGAGGATATTCCTCCTTATATATGGAGGGGAAAGTATTCTTCATGTTCTTTTATCTTATAGAAATATACTACTTCCATTTCATATTTCGAAAATTTTGACTCGTAATTACTTTTTATTTTTGAGTCATTTGAGGTCATTTTTAGTCATATTCTTTTTATATATTCATATATTATCTATATCTCAAATTAAATGTCTATTTCAATAACTTTGACTCACAAAAATTATAAGTCATAATTTTGTAATGAACAATTAATATGAAATGAAGGTAATATATATATATACTTGAACCAAATTGTCTTGTAAACGAATTATTATAGATCCTATCATTACAGAATAGGAAGACTCTAAACAAAATTTGATTTTAATTTGTGTATTTGAATAAGGCATTTCACCTTAAAAATTGGCTTTACTTAGTTGCATGGCATTTCTATTTGTAGAAAAGCTTATGATTTACGTTGAAATGGAAGAAAATGGTAAGAAAAAACAAGGATGGTCCAACCAATTAACATTATTACTACGTTACAGGGGCAACAACAATCACATCACATCACATGATGGGTAGCCTAACCGTATACCAATGCAACTACCATTTTGCTTCGCTTCATATTAGAACTATGTCTATCAATATTATTAATTTCATACCACTCCACTTGTTAAATCATGTGCTTTATTCCCAATAAATCTAAACAATCTTTTCTTTTGTTATACGCTAACATTTTTGTAACAGTAAAACGAAAAACACCTTAATTTTTTCTTTTTTTTGTTTTTATCCTGAGAAGAAAAGCAACGAACCACGTAAAATAGCAAATAACAAAAACTAGTAATAACAAAACTAATACCTTTTATAGTCAAGATCACATTCTTGCTGATATATATAAAAAAATAAAACTAAAAATAAAATCAAGACAAATTATTTATTTTGTCTATAACATCCTGTTATTCAGTTATTCTCATATTTTAGACCATTATTTTGTAATATACATATAAATTAATTATTTAATTTGTCCACAACATATATATATTTATATATATATATATACATATCTTTCATCATGGTATTCTTCAACCCAAATGACAAGAACAGGACATTGTTTTCTTTTGACCTGCGGGCAATTGATCATTGACAATGGCCAACAATTAATTTGAAACAACCATTTACTTACAACATTGCCAATCCAGGAGAAACAAATGAGGTTACTGTCTAGGCATTTCATTATTGTGATGCCATACATATATACAAGGGTTTGATATATATAACTAGAAGAAAAAAAAATGTCGACCATATATTGTTTCAAAACTGGTGGTAACAAAATAAAGTTCGTTAATTGAAGTTAGTGTCACGTGGTGTCAATTGCAAGGACCATGTATTTTATAAGTATATTATGTCCACATGGCACTCCGTGAGACAACAGATAAAGTAACTTGTGAGAGATCAACATCAACTGCATTGATTCTTATTATATCTCTGCATCATTGTCCTCCTCCAATTAATTAAGCCCCTTTCTTTTTATTTATTTCAACCAAAAAAAAAATAGCCCTAAAAATCACCAGACCATCCTACCATATCTGAAAAAACTCATAAAATACATGTCTGGAATTTGGTGAAAATTTGGCCCTATCATTTTATTTTTTTATTTTTATTTTAAAAAAGCATTTTCATGTGCATTATTCTAAATTGATATTTGCAAAATAATGAAAATATGTGTGATACTAATTTTAAGATATTTGGAATAACATTGACATTTTTGAATCAATCACATTCATAAAAATGCCTTTAACCAGTTTTAGCTAGCATATATTGTCTTGTGCATTATTCTGATAGTATCTTTAATTTTCAGTCCAGCTCCATTAATAATGGCGATGATAATAATATATATTTATATATAGCAACAATTTATTATATAATGCCTTGTTGTTTCAAGTACAGCGGTCCACATAATTAATTATCAATAATAGAAGAAGATCCAGAAGTTCGATCGTAAGGTTACAATGGGACAGGAAGAGTTCTTTTATTTGGATAAATTACAGTGGTACAAGAGGTTTATCTAAACGTTTGTCGGACTCATTTTAGTATACTAGTCATTTCTGCATTAAATACATGTATGTATGTATTGGTCTTATATGCATTTTTCAAAAATTCCTTTCTAACCAACATTCCACAGAGTGAAGCTGTGCACAATGAAGAGGGAGAAATTATTATATGGTCGGTGATTTCTGTTAATTATACATTTTTATACAATTAAATATATTTATTAATTTATAATTCACCTTAATCATGTAATAATTTCTCGAAACTCACACCTTATAAATTAAAGACTAAAAAGGCTTTCTTTTTACACTTTCGATGGGTAGGAAGTTGCGGTACAAATCAGTACCCCAAACAAACAATTAGGAAATTATTTGATAGGAAATCTTAGATCATAGCTGTTCAAGTTGTCTTTGTTGGGGAGTCTATGAACATACACTTACCAGCCAAGCTGTTTGCAGCACTATGGGACACTGACACTAGTCACACTACCCCTTCAATAATAGTCTCTCTCTATGTTTTGAAGACAATGATTCATAATATATTTAATTTAAAATACAACACTCTACTTTCATTATAACTGGGCTAGTATGATAAGCACTTTACTAGTATAATAACCGGGCTACTTTATTTTTAGAGTGAAATGCTTTGACATCTTTGAGGTTTTTTTTTATTGCTCGTAAATTATACTTGTGCAAAAATTACCCTGACACCCCTATTCAAAGTTAACATCGGTTTGTTTTTTTTGACCTTTATAATTATATCTTTCTTTATTTAATCAAATGCATGTTGAGGGACGACAATGGGTTTGGGACGGAGATCTTATTCCTCAAGCCTTTTTTCTATTTAATTTTTTAACTCCCAAAACTTATTAGGTTTTTCAAAACCGCCCCTATTTCCGTTCTCATTTACATAATTGGTTCATCAAAATCACGGGACCCGCCAGGATGGAGATTTTTGCCATCCCTACTCGTGACTCTTTTTTTAATAAAATTTAAGACAAGAAACGAAATGATAGTTAGAGTTTTTTCCTATATGTATGTATGTGTATATATATATATACTTAACTTATTTTAGTAATATATTATAATATGTAAAGATAATTTATAACATATTTCGGGCATAACAACCATCTCCCGATAATTTATAACATATTTCGGGTGAAACAATCATCTCCCAAAACTGTTTCAAAATTCGCCTCATTTTTTAAAGAACCAGCCGGTAAAGTTCCACTTTATTAGCATGTGACTCAGATTTTCAATACTTAAGAAATCTATATATTTTAACTTTTTAAGTTAACATATCCATATGCAAACTTATGTATACTCTGTCACAAACTGAATACCCTCATCTACCGTATATTTATCCAAATTCCACTAGCTCGATTCTACAAATTTATGCTTATCAACGCAGATACACTTACATCTGTATCGAAAGTTACTTACTTAAATTTGGGAAATAGTTTTATAATTTATAGATTTTTACAAATACATATCATTTTTACACTGTAGCATATATTAATATTCAAAATTTACTCAATTCTAATTTGTTATCAAATTTTTTATAACTACCTGCATAGTCAAAATTAATTGAAATTAAATTGGTAAAACCCTAACCTTGTGTTTCTCTTTTACAATCAATTGATTATATTAATGACCAGAACCATTTCAAAAGTTGGGGAAATTTATCTTCAACCTGACAATATCATTTTTCCCACAATTAATTGACAAGATGCATGCAAACAAGTCCGTAAATTTTTTCTGTAAATTGCTCAAATATCCTAATTAATCTGTGTTTGGTAGTACTAACTACTAAATTGACA